AAAACTGCCTCTGTGTTAAAAACAGGTGAATGTAGAGACAACTGACAGATGAATCTGAATGAAATGCACAAACAGCTAAAGAATGTGCCTTACTTCAGTCCCTTCAACCTCTAAATAGGTTACAAAATAACAACGGCTTTACACATGCAGTTTCTCCAAATTAACTTCAAAGGCACATATGGTAAACACCTCCCTTTACAGTTATTTTTTGGGACATTCATCCAACAGAAGGCCATTTCCACACAACAGAAGCATTTTAATTCAAGGCTATTAAATCATTCTTTCCAACATGGAGCAAAACATTTAAGACCAGCATCTATCAGGAATTAAGAATAGCACAAAAGCTAAAAGAAAAGAACAAAGCATATACAACCTCCTTTTTTGCACATAAATCAACACTGATATGTCAAAAGTCCAAATGTCCATTTTTGTCAGCTAGAATTTTCAGCAAATTCAGTATAAGCTCTACTTTTCTACTGTGCACGTTTTTAAGTGATATCAAAACCGCACAAGATGATTCTTTACCACAGACTGCATCCATCGCCAGCCTTTGGGAAGGGAAGACTTATGTTTAGGAAGACTTATGTTTTCCACTTCAGTATTTTCTTCTTCCCTTTTCAGAATTTTCAGCTGCTCTGAACTATAAGCTGGTAGTAAATAACACAAGCATAACTCAAATACTGATGAAAAACTCTGGAGCCGTTTTTAAGAAAATACCTAGCTAAAAGAAAAAGCACAAGACTTGCCATATGCTGTAAAAACATCAAAATTGCTAAGAGAACACAGGGGACTTTTTGGTGAAAACATAACATCGCAATTTCAGTCACAAAGATCTGTCATCATCTTGATTTCTAATACACGGGAAAAGGAAGTGGAAGTCCCAAAATTACTTAAGTGTTGTTTAAACCAGATTCAGAGTTCATGGAATTTAATGGAAAAAATAGTAAGTATTTGATTAAGTGCTGGACTAGGTGACAGGCCTGATCTAAAGATTTCTGAGACTGGAAGGTAAGGACAGATGTTGCTGTTCCAACTGAAGAGAACTGGAAATATCAAGATGTCCTATGAATGGCAAAGAAAACCCATTGCAGGTCAATAATTCATATTATTATTAATAAACAGTGGGAGAACGGGAACAATAACATCCAGGGAATAGACTAGCTTGTCCCTCATCTCACTGCCACCATGCTGCTATCCCTGTGTGATTTTTCAGTCTTCAGGACCTGTATCTTGAATCTGTCTTCCCCCTCTGCCCTCCTTTTCCCCTATGTTTTAGCTGACTACATCAGGCTCTCTGCTACCATTCATTTAAATGTTTTTCTATGGTCACCTTTCATACATTCAAACAGATGCCCCTTGTCTGTTTTCCATCCTCAAGTCTTATGACTCAAGAAATGTCATATAAAGCAAAATTAGATCACATTCTTCCCCTCGCCCTCAATTTCCCTGTGCTCAGCCATGTAACTGAGCAAAACCTCCTGTCACTCATGCAGAAATGACCTTTATGGCAGTTGCAGATGGCAAGAACTAGTTAGTCACCAACAGGACTGACAACAAGCAGACAGGGGAGGGAAACCAGTGTCATGTAAGAAGTGGCAACTGGGCAAACAGGAAGAATGGCAGAACTGAATTTTTCTTTCAAATGAACACACTTCAAATACAGGGTCCGGCATTCTAAGCAGAAAAGAATCAAGTCACTCAGGAATGCTACACAAAGTCAAAGAAAATCAGTGACTACCAAGCAGCCTAAACAAATTCTCCGAGAGGCAGAAGCTTCTGATACAACACACACACATCTTCACACCAACATTCTTTAGAATGGAACAGGAGTGTCTTGCACAGGTGCACATAGAGGTTGCATAAGTAACAACTGGGTCTCTCCTAGGATTTCAAACAACAGAAGTACACACAACAGCTTCCTTCTCCACCTCCACCCAAGAGCCTGAAAGCTCTCTGGACTGAAGGTAAACAGTTCACAACTTGTTCTCCAGCAAAGCTGTGATATTAAGTTCAACTTTTCCCCATCAGGAATGTCAGCTCATTGGCAGCTTATTTTCAGAAAATGGGAGGGGAGAGCAGCTGCACAGACTCTAGCTTACCTGGTTCAAGTGTTTTTCTTATTTTTATATATATATATATATTTTACAAACATTTTCAGTTTATTTGCATCTGAATGTGAACACAGAATGCTTACCTAAAAGGCTTTCTTTATGCCAGTCTTCGGTGCTAAACAAAGAAGCCTGTCTTTACATGCACAGCAGAAGCACTGGCATAGTGCGCTGGCTCTGCATTGTGCCTTGCAAAGTCTGACCTTCTCCATCAGGACATCAACGGGCAACAGTCACTAAGCTCTGGACACCATCAAGGAAGGGGGTTTCTTCACTTGATTAGGAGCTTTTCACTGTATGCTCCCTTCCTTACAGTGGAAAGCCTTAGCTGCTTTTGTATAATGTTTTATTCTGCAAACAAAGCACACTGACATACAAAACAGGGCATTCATTTCTGAATGAATGAGAAACAACTTTTTTTTGACATTCAACCATGTACCATCTACAATGAATTATCATTCAGTCTCCATACTACAGCAGCTTCTAGAAGTCCTGACCGACGACAAAGCATTTAGTATGTCAAGCTGTCAAGACGAGTCACTACTTCCCAATGTTTTCAATCTATAGGCAAGACAAAAGAGAGAAAATGTAGTTCTCGCCCTTTCAAAGATGAAGATCAGAAGCAGATATGAAACATGAAATTAGGACCAGGAGCAAACAAAAGTACTCCTTTCTTTCCTCCTTGTCAACCCAAATCATTCTTCGCGTTTCCAAAAGCATGTTTATGTTACAGATGTGAAAAAGCAAACAACATTTCAAATAACCAAGTTGCGTTTATTTGTTACATAATTTGTTGGATTCCTCTGAAATGAACTGCTGCAACAGCAGCATACAGAGACAAAATACGCCCAGTACGGTAGCCCCTATGTTATAGGGCACACATAACTAGCTGTGATTAATCAAGGAACAGAATTATTTAGAGAGTATGATTACTGAAACAAGATAACATGTTTATTCGATACACAGATTTTGGAGGAAAACAAAGGTAGAAACCTCAGAGAGAACTGCCCCAAAACCATGAGAAACTGTTCAATGCATATAATAGAGAAGCTCTGGTATCTAGAAAAAGGCATTGAGGAGAGTCAATAAATAGCAATTCAGGTAAGTATCAAGTGCAAGAGGTCACAGCCTGGAACAGTATCTTGCCATGAAGAACCACAACCAACGCATGAATTAAAAAAAAAACAACCCACTTTACATCAGAAGTCTCAGTTCCGCACTTTTTGCAGAGGACCCATCTGATTGTTCTTACAGATTCTTTCTGTATCTGTAATGCAGTTGTTATAATCAGCTTCATAGTCAGTTCGAGTTTTGCAACCATTGCAGAGAAAAAGAAAATGCCTTTGAAAATTAGGCCATGAACTGTAACTGCTGTAAAACCAAGGGGGAAAAAAGCCCTCACAGCCCATATTACCACCTTAACTCCTTGCCCCTCATGTGTAAGATGATACATCATTAGAAAGTCTTCCTGTCCTGTTTCCTAAGAGCCCTTCTCTGAGCATTTTGCAACTCTGTAAGGGTTCTTCCCTCGCAAGCCTGCTTTAAAAATTAAACCACTGTTTAGCAAGAGTAGCACCTTTTCATTAAAAGGTGCATTTACCACACAGTAGTATTCTCTATATTTAGAACTTGAAATACATCAAATACCACAGCAAATGTAACTATCGTGGGTGGTAAACATCCAGTTTAATGGCATCCACTGTATTTGTGTGAATAAGTTTTATAAATAGCTTCCAAAATTCTACTCAATATAGGCAGCTAATAATATCTGAATTTACGCTTTTTCATTTCTCCTACCAAGTGTTAGGCCCACGTTCTCTGCCAAGCACTCACCTGGAACAAGTACTGAGGGCATGCTCTGAACAGTAACTCAGCTGGGCTGCAAAACAGATGTGAGAACTAACCTGAAATTATCAGAAGCATTCTGGTCTGCCTTTTAGGCTGGAGAACTTGCAAAACTTTCTGTTTAGATTTTGAGGTCTTCCTATTCAAAGGCAGGTGGAAATATAGGAGTGATGTCAGATCAAACTGTCCTCAACAGCTACAACTGACTTATGCCCTTTGACAGGAACTTTCCTACTGTTTTAAAGAGCTCTTAGAAGTTTTTCTTCCCTAAGCAGTAGCTCCACAGAAACTTCAGGTTTGGTTTGCAAGTTAATAATAATTCATGCAGATCTGCATTCCTGTAAATCTATAATAAACTGATGTCTGGCACAGAAGATAATTCCTCAGAAATATTGCTCCTTTCACAGTTTAATCAAGATATAGCTAGTTCAGAAGGGCCTCGTTTTCCCCTTTTGCCAGCCTTCTAAATTATATCTCCTTTTTTTTTTAATCCTAATCTTCTGTTGAAAATGTGCGTATGCATCTACTTATGTTCACTGGCATTTCTCTGTGATGTAAACTGGATTTTCTGAGACGCTGGGAGCTCACAACTCCAGTAGAACTTGGCAGGCCAACAAATGTTCAACATGATGTAAGGATACAATAATAAAAGACCAGAAAGGTCCCTATGTCTCCACCTTCTCAGATCATTTCCTCAGGCTGAATTTATACACCAATGATGGGAAATTAAGCAGTCAGTTTCTTCCTCAAAGATTTCTCAGAAAAACAAGAAAAAGTCATTATTTCTTCAACGGTACTGCATCAAGGCAAATGTTTGTCATTCTATCTTTGGGTAAGAAAGTCAATTCCCGGGAAAAGGACCCATGAAACAATTTTTTAAATATTCTAGTTTTCTATGTATGCTTGTTCCTTTTAGTCTTAGAAAAAACTTCTGCACTTTTCAACTACTTTGTTAATTCTGAGCGATCCTCTTGTAGCACTTCTGAGCTACATAGTCCAAAGACATCCATCCACATCCATGATGCTATGATTTCAGGTGTGCTCAGTCTAATGTGGAGTTTTACAAAGAGCCATGGAGTGTCCTGCCCCACATCCAACTAAGATCTCTTTTGCATATCCAAGAGCTTTGACTGGCTTTGGGACGTGAACATTTGCTTCTGTGCCATCACCACACATCCCATGTTCGTTCCATCCCCAAGAGAAGCATTGGCCACCTAAAAGAGAGGATACAAAATTTAGAATGAAGACCACAGAAACACAACAACTTTGGTTAGTTTTAGGGAGCAGATTTGTTAAGTCATCTTCTAATTAGGTTCTAAGAAATTCTGCTAACGTAAGGAAGAATGTTCTGGTTCTCTTGAAAATGTAAATAAAACCAAATGAATTATCGTCTATCTCGTTCCATATTGTTAACAACATAGGAGAGTAAAATAACAAAGACATTTGAAAATCACTTAGGAAATACATAGTTCAGTATTTATACAGAGCCCACAGAAATCTCCCTCCATTTTAAGGACCTGAAATGATGTGGAATCCTTGTCTTTCAAGTTCCCCCTAGTAAGCAAAACTATCACAAACCAAGCCTAGTGACTTTAATCATTCATAGCATGATCTGTAGGATTGGGGAACACAGAGCAGCCAAATTACATTTCATTCCTACTTTCAAGTTCCCATCTCACCTTTTTCTTTTAAATACAAGTCTCTGACAGCTTGCCTTACTCTTAATCATCCTACCTCTTCTGCTAGCTTTGACATCATTTCACTGCTGTTATTATCTTTATTTTTCCTCATTATTATTTATTTTTGTAACATCTACTCTTTTATATCCCAAATCATGATCCCTGTATTATTATTACCCCATAGTACTCTTTCTTGAAACACAATATGTAAATTTTGCTCTATAAATGGCTGGCATAATAAAAAATCCACCCAAAAAACCTCTTATTCTGAACTACAAGAGATATTTCTTCCCTATTTTCTTTTCTTTATTTGGCTGTCACAGACTGTGCCTGTGAATTTCTGTAATAAAAAAGAAAGCTATCCTGCAATATAATCATGTTTCTGACACCATTGTTATTTTTAAAAAGCAGCAGGTATTAACAGCATGAAATACCATTCTCGAGTCCAAATAATGAGAAGAAAAATGCCAAAATTCACAAAATCCAATCCCAACCATAATTCGAAAATAATTTTACGTTTCAAAATTCAGATATGGAGTATTGCAAAGCTAGCAGGATCATCTTTCCCTCCTGCAAATACAGTAACATTTTATTGTTGTCTGTTTTCTTTACTTATTAGTATATTAAAGTTCTCCTCTTCTGTAATTAAAAGTAAACATTACTAAAGTCAGATGTAAGTAAACAATGACCTTTAATTTTTCTTGACAATCTTTAAGGCAAGAGAACACAAGAAAAAGCCACTAGAATGTCACATTAGGCTAGATACATCTCACCGAATACAGCAGCTCTGTTATTCTTATCTTTGAAGGCACCAGATTTTCTCATGACTATGCATGTGCAATACTGACAGCTCAACCTTATCACAAATGCACTTATATGTGCTGCAGAAAAGTACCAAAAAGTAAATGTCCAATATACCCCATTTAAATATCAACAGATCAGAACATCTCAGAATTTTTTTAGTAAGGTTCCAGGTAAAAATATTTACATAAATATTAACGAGCAGGAAAAAGATATCACAAAGGGAGACTGAAGACACATCACAGAACAATTATTCAGTGAAAAAGTTCAAAGAAAGAAAACCAGCTGCACCTAAGAGCAGGCATTCTTTTGCAAAGTAAATACATGGAACCTGCAGAATAAGCTTACTTAGAGGGGGAAAACTTCCAAGTTCAATGAAAAGGGAACATAACATGGCCTTACATTAATAAGATGACTGTGGTAAGCTTTTTGTTACTAGCCCAATAGAAATTAGTACAATACCTTGCCTGTTTGTATGGAGACTCACTACATCTGAATAAAGGGTTTGGGTTTTTTTTTTCATCCTGTCCCATCAGGACAAGAGAGAGGAAATCAGAAAGCTTTTGGTCACCTTGAATTACAAACTGCTCAATGGAACATTAATGGCATAACAAATATTTAAAGAAATAGTGCAGTAGGATATTAACCTCTCAAATTGATAAATATATCTAGTCAACCATCTTTTGAAAAAAAGAAAAAAAAAAATCACAGAAAAATTTACAAGCTAGGAAACCCCCAGACAAGAACATCTCCCCTACAATAAGGACCACTGAGTCTTTTCCAGTCTCTACTTCTCCAAGCATGTAGAAAGGCCACCAAACAGATATTTCTACATGACTACAGTGAGCTCCAAGGTTACTGAAATGGGCCGAGAGTGAAAACTAGCAAAATTAAAATAGAGAGTAACTAGGATTTATGAATGGTCTTCTACAAAAAACGCCTTGTGTATATATGGAGAGCCAGGCGGAAATCTTAAGGGATAAAAGGTATCTGACAGATACAGAATGACAGACCACAAAAATGATTCTCATCACCATCAAGTCAGAAGTCAGAAAAGGCAGAGAATTAATGTTGTGAAAATAAAAGGTATACTATACATCTGCCTGTAGAAGATTTAGAGAAAGTTTTGTACATTAAAAAAAGCCAGATGCTAGATTTGTGTCAGAGAAAACAGAATTTGCAGAAAATACAGAGTCCATTTTTTTTGTAATACCATATTAACAATATTTGGAGGAGGGCTGGGCAAAATGACAACGGTGATATTGGCCAGGAGGGAACAAGCAGCTATGTGAATCACTGGCAAAGAAGTTGAATTCAATGAAGACTGAAGATAATGAAGCACCTATTAAAAAATAAAAAAATACATAGAAGGACTATCTGCAGAGTTAAGGAAAGGCCTTCATTAATGGGAACTAATGGCTAGCCTCTGGACAAAGGGCACCATTTAATCTCAATTCTTTTCCCCTGCCTCATATCCCCCCTCTCTCCCCGCCCTTCTTTTTTGCTCGTTTTCTTTTTGATTGCTTCTATTCACAGTTTATTGCTGATAAAAACCTCAACACAGCCCCAGCAGCCCTACATGTTTTCATGAGAAAATTCAATTTTTATGCCTGTGCCAGACCTTCCCAGGATGAAAGAGCATTAGAATGATGTGTATTCATACAGCCACAAATTGCTTCTAACTAAATTTAAAACAAGCATTGTGGCATGTTCTCAAACCAAATGATTTGTGTTTGGTGAGGTGAGAGAATGTTGCTCCATGTTACTGGTTAAATGAAACAGCATAATACATCACATTCACCCTTTCCCTTTTAAAACATAAATACTCAAAGTACAAATGAAACCACAGAATGGCAACACAGAGTAATCCCAAGGGAATTTCACTTGAGTTGAGAGTCACACTAATGAAAGTCTAGAGTAAGACTATGTAGGTTTTTCCCCCAAACGTCAAACATACAAAAAGAGGGGGGAAAAAAATCCCAAACCTTGACAAATCTGTCTGCTTTGGTCACACAAAACAAGAAGGGGCTACTGCCCTCCTATGTGCAATAACTATCTAGGCTTTTTTTAAGGTAGTTTTTTTTTTTTTTTAACTGGAGTGACAACTGCAATCCAGATGTAGATTAAATTGGAGAAAAGTACTTCTAGGTAAAATAAAGTGGCAGCATATTGGACAGAGGACAGGGTTCTGTGGAAGGCAGAGTATTTAGAGTTGCTCTTCATTGCTGAGTACTCTGTTCTTCAGGTGAGAAGAATCAATGTTAGCAAATACATTGGTCTGGGTGAGATTCACTGCACTTAACTTCAGCCACCCAAAAATCAAGCAGCGTAGCTATAGGTCATTATCCTCTAGTTTTCCTCAAGAGCCAATGGAGTCATCTACATCTCTCCAACAGGCAATTCATCTTATCCAAACACTGCTGTTAAAATCAAATCTATCTCACTCTGGTGACTATAGTGGGAGACCAAGTGATTGTCTTAGCCTAGGCGTAGCAGTTTTAAACAGCTGAAGACAGGTTGCGATAAATCACATCCTTACAATCGGTCTGAAGGTAAACCAAGGAAAACTGGAAACAAGGAAGCTATAAACATCACTGCAGCCTAGTTTCAGGCTACAAACAGCCTGCTTCTAAGCCAGCCTGTGCCCTGGAGGCTTATTACTGAAAACTTTAAAAGCTTGTTTCTCTTCTGCTTCTGCTCTCCCACTCTTTCAACCACACAAACAAACAGAAGTTGGATTTAAAGACAATCCAAGTATGTCAAAGCCAAGCTATTCATCAGACAGCATCACATTTTAAGGATCTTTTAAAATGTTTTACCACAGCTCTATTGTATAGGCTCTGCGCTCTGAGCAAGACTCCACAATACCTCAAATTATTATTATTATTTTTAACCTTAAATTAGTGGTACTCTACAGATGGTTATATATAAAAGTTACAGTAGGCAAGAACCAGCTCAGGGCAAGTCAAATGACTTTAAACAGCATCAGGGCTGGACCACGAACAAAATTCAGGTGTCTCAGTCAGCCCCCTTAGACTGTTTGAAAGCATTCAAAACCTCACAGGGAACAACGTAACACAGAAGGAGATTTAGACCATACTGCTCCCAAGGAGTTGTAAACCACAAGCCTTCCTATGTTTTCAGGACATCTGGCAATCCAGAGTATCACGTAAAATAAAAGTAGAGAAATATCCCTCTAAACTTTCGTATTTTTGTTAGCAACAATTCTGTCATTAGCACAAAAGATTTGCAATTTTAGAATACAAGAAACAGGGTTGATACCAATTGTTTTCTATAGGAAAATACAGAAACATATTAGTAACTAAAAGGGAAGCCTAAGCATTGTGCAAAATCTTATTAAAGGCAAAGTTTGGTAAATGGAATATAAGATGACGTGATCTCCAGACCTTATATGGTACCTCGAAAAGCAGAAAACTACTGAGAGTCATACAGTGGCAGTTTTATTATGAAGCTACACTTATACCCACATTTTCAAGGAGCAAGCTGTTGGGTGCTCCAAACAGCCCGTCCAATTGCTGCTGGAGTTGCTCAGGACCACAACCCTCAGAAATGCATGTCTGACTTTACAGTCAGTAAGATGGACGAAAATCACAGGCATCGCAGTGCTAACACAATATACAGATAGGAAACAGCATACATTTTTGATATTAAGTACAAAGCCATTGTACTAAAGACATACTGATTTAAAAGTTAGCCTCCAGTAAACAATCTGT